CTAGATTAGATGTTAACGAAAAGATGTAAACATGTCAAAATTGAGATTATTACAAGTTACCTAATAAATTCTACTATTTCTACGGTAAATTCAGTTATTTACTATCGAAAATTGTAATTTTTGCTTTACCATAAAAATTTAGTTTTCTCCGTGTATCGTACTGATAAATTTTGCGTTCAAGTCAAACTAAGAAAAACATTAAATAAAATTGTCCCCTTTCCCCTTGTCACATTTTATCACGTTAAGCAATACCTTCCCCCTATTTGCGAACGAATTTTATGAATGACCCCTAAGAAGCTTAATGCAACATTTTCAAAAAAGGATAGATACTACAAAATGAAACTGAAAAATCCACAAAATAAAAGATATAGTCTAAAGTGTAATGTACCTACCCATTAAAATTATAAATGTTAAGGGTTAAATGTGAAAACAACTCAGCTAATCGATAAATTTGCAACACAATGAATAATTTTTACAGCATAACAATGTTTTCATATATTTCTTGATATTTTTAGATTTTCCATGTTGCACACGAAGAGCTTCTTTTGTTGTTTCATTATCTTATATTATTGAGTAATAAGAAATTAAAATAATCACTGAATCATAACTGCTAAGTACAAACTGAAGTAGACCAGTCATACCTTATTGTGTTAGTGGCAAGTACGTATATTAAAATAATGTATGATAAAATTTTTGGATTAGATATAATTTCTATCGTAACTGTTAAATATTTCGAAGTGAATAGATAAATTATCACGTTTACTCAAATTCAAGATGGAATGCATACTGTGCAGCCTTCTTCCTGTTTTATACTGAAAGTCGAAATCCCTTGTTTGTAAGAAATGACAGATTTACTTAGGTATTTCCTCTCCCTCTTACAATATAACAGTGTTCTAAAATATTTCTCGATATTTTTAGATTTCCCATGTTGCTCACGAAGAGCTTCTTTTGTTTCATTATCTTACATTACATGTTTGTTGTCTCCTCTCTCGCGATCAGATGACATAATAACTTATGTCAAAATCGGTTTATACTAAAATAATTTGTATCTACCATTATGTTTCGTTTAAAAACTTTTATTAACCAATTTACCTTTTCAATTTCTTAATCACGCCCCTTTCTCTTTGTATTAATAACTAATTTGTTGGTAATTTTCTCATGGTAGATAATTCAATTTTTATATTGTTTACAATATACGCCAGTGAATGCGTAAAATTTCTTATTTTGTTATTATAC